CATCACACACCTCCACAGTCAGGTACAGTGACATCACACACCTCCACAGTCAGGTACAATGACATCACACACCTCCACAGTCAGGTACAATGACATCACACACCTCCACAGTCAGGTACAAGGACTCTAACCTGAGTCAGTTATGTGGATATCTCAGGTATGTGTGGCAGAAAGTCTGTAGGTCTTCTGATGGTGAAGAGTTTTACCTGACCAAGATGGCGGCTGCTCCATGGATGTGTTTGGTTCTCACACAGATGTTTTTGTTTCCTCAGGTGCATCACAGAGCGTCTCCTCCTGAGCAGGTTGTTGTTCTCTGTGTTCAGACGACTTCCTGATTCCAGGTAAATAATGACTCACACCAGCTGGCATCCTCAAGTGGGCGGAGGCTGTTTGAAACACTCCATCCGTTTCTGTGCTCCTTCTCAGGTGCAGCCAGCTGATTGGATGTATGAGCTTTGGGATTGGCTCTCTTGTCTCTTCCTCACAGGTAAACCAATCACAGCAGAGAATGACGCTTTCTGATTGGCTGTAGAGACACCTGAGTGATATCAGGTGTTCAGGTATTCTGTGATCGTTTTGTAAGACTCCTCCTCTACATTTGCCTGAAGCAACTTCTGCCCCACCTCCCCCTCTTGTGTTTCCAGCAGGTCACTGGTTGGTTCTACCTGCTGGCAGAGGAGTATGGGCGGAGCAAACACCTGCGAGTGACATCACAGAGAAGCAGACCCATAAAGAGACCACAGGAGGAGGTGGGTCAAAAGGAGGTGGGTCAAAAGAAGGCAGGTCAAAAGGAGGCGGAGTCAGGAGGTGAGTGGACTAAATTTAGCTTTTAGCTACTGTTCTGCTACCTTTAGACTTTAGGTAGCATTATGCTACAGTTGCTTTTAGATAGACTATTTGTTAACCGTTTCCTGCTTTTAACTATTCTTTTGTCCCCTCCAGCTTCTACCTTCCCTTTTTCCACTTTTGGCATTTAGCTACTTTTCTGAAAGGTTTCTGCTAACCTTTCAACATTTTAGTGTTTAGCTTTCTGCAACATTTAGCATTTTGACACTTTTACTTACTTTACTCCTACTTAGCTTTCAGCTAACCTTTCAAAATTTTAGTGATAGCCTTCTGCAACATTTAACATTAACTGACATTTGCTGCTGTTAGCTAGCATCCTTGCTACCCCTTTGCTACTTTTAGTTAGCCTTTTAACATTTTAAGATTTTGGATAGTATTTTTCTATGTTAGAGTTTAGCTAGCCTTTTTTGTGTATTTATTTTTTGTTTTGCTACTTTTAGCACCCGCTTCGGATGTTGTCATCCATGAAATGGACGTTATTAGGCGTTATCAGTCCACTAGAATGGCTTCAGAATGTCCCGCCTGTGCCGGATAGCAGGTTCCCCGTACCATAGAACGGCTTCAGAATGTCAGCATAGAGGCATAAAACCACTATCTGGTTAATATGAGGCATAAAAAACTGGTTCATATGACGCTTAAAACCACTAAGGTTAACTTTAGAGCAAATGACATGGTTAGCGCTAAAAACACTGCCCTCCAATGGTTGTATATTGTGGCCTTCCAATAGGGCAATGGGTAGAGTGTCGGACCAGAGAGCGGTAGACCAGGGTTTGACACGGACACAAAAAATTTATTACAATATCTTTTGGTTATTTACACATTCATTGCCATTGATATATTAACCCACTAGGGGGCACTGTTGGGACAGTCTGAAGCCTAGAAGGCACAGTAGGGACCCTCTGAAGCCATTGTTTGGGACTGATAACGCCTAATAACATCCATTTCATGGACTGATAACATCAGAATCCCCTGCTTTTAGCCAACATTTTCCTTCTTTTATCTATCATTTTGCTACTTCCAACTTTGCCTTTTTCAACTTTTGTCTACTTTTCTCCTACTTAGATTTCAGCTAACCTTTTGACACTTCAGTGTTTAGCTTGTCTGCTGCTTTTAGTTAGCATTTTTGCTAGTCATTTGCCACTTTTAGCTTTTTGTTGTTTTGACTTTGTTAGTTTCACTTTTTTAGCTAGCATGTTAATCTTTTTAGCAAGTGTTCTGATTCTTTTAGTTTTTACATCTCAGTTTCTGCTACTTTTACTTTTATTTTTTTGTGAGTTAAACTGTTTGAACTTTTCGGGTCGAAACTCAAAACAGTCAGATTTTGGACGGTCTTAGAGACCAGAATCCAGCTCTTCGTACTTTGGCTCGTCGAGCGTTTTTCAGCCGAAGGTGGGAATATTTACTGTACAAAGCTCAGCTAATTTCAGTGCAGTGGCAGCTGTTTTATCGGCTCTCCAGAACTCAGAGCTGGAAGCTCTCAGAGCAAACAAAACCCTGACAGTGATGAAGAAAAACTCTCTTTTTAACAGAAGCAAACCTCCAGCGGACCTCCTGAGGGCCGGGGTTCTGGTTGAAGCCAGTCAGAGGGGAAACAAAGGGGTGTGGGGGGCAAGGGGGGTGAGGAGGGGTCCAAATGAACCAAACATGACGGAACAAACGGGTTTAATAAACAAGGTTTACAATAAATCAGACGTGTTTGTTTGGGACAAAGAGGACAGAAACGAGGAAACCCTGAATTATTAACTGGGGGGGGGGGGGGGTCGCAGCTCGGGTCGGTTCTGTTGTGAAGTGCAGCTGAGCAGCCAAGCAGAAAGTGTGTCACAGATGACGGTGGTTGACCGGGACCGATGGGTTCCCAGCAGCAGCTCTCTGGTTCTGCCGGGTCTTGGTTCTGTTGGTCCTGTCCCACATGAGGATCTGAGGATCTGGACACGGGTCTATTTATAGAGAAGTGTTGGGAGGCTGAGGGAGCAGCAGCAGCGCCGGCGCCGGCGCCGGTGGCTCTTACTATCCGCCCCCCCGTCCCCACGGGTCGGGTGGCCGGTTACCATGGTGACGAGAAGCAGCCCGGTAACCATGTGACCTTCAGAGTACCTCTGAGCCCCGCTCGCTGTGACATCACAGATCCGACACTCGCTCGCAGCAGATCAGAGGGCGGGGATGCCTCAGAGGTTCTGGTCCCTCCTCAGGACCGCAGACCGCTCCGGGGTCCAGGACTCAGATCTGTGGACCAAACTGTTCCTCCTCACAGAGAAGTTCTTGGACCATCTCTTACAGAACTCTGGACCCAGTTCTGGTCTCGCCTCCAGTTTGTGTTTTTTGAGTCCGGTTCAGTTCGGACCTTGAAGATGTTCTGGAAGAACGCCGCCTGGTCGTGGGACGATGCTGCGGGTGACGATGATGATGATGATGGTGGTTTTCTGCTTGCAGCCGACCTCAGGAGGACCCCGGACTCGGCTCCAGACGCCGACCAGAACCGCTGTGCCAACAGCACCGCCTCCATCGTGACGAACCGGTCCAGCTGCCCGCCCTCCGCCTTGACCAGACCCAAAGACCCGGTCCAGCACGGCACGGCGTCCGGACGGCCCCTCAGCCTCGACTCGGCCAACGCCAATGTGTCCACGCTGTTCGGCGCCACGCAGCAGCTGCCGGTGAGTACAGGGGGGTCACTAGAACCTGGGGCAGGGGGTCCTGAGTCCAGTTCTGGTTCTGAAGGTTTAGCTCGTGGTTTCAGAGTTTCAGAATCTTGTGTTTGATGAATAAAACAGAGAAACAAACAAACATTTTAAAGCTGCTTCCAGTGGCTCGTTATAGACTCGTTATAGACTTGTTATAGACTTGTTATGGACTCGTTATAGACTCATTTTGAACTTGTTATGAACTTGTTATGGACTTGTTATGAACTTGTTATGGACTTGTTATGAACTTGTTATGGACTCATAATGATCTCGTTACGGTCTCGTTATGGACTTGTTATGGACTTGTTATGGACTCGTTATAGACTCGTTAAAGACTCATTATGAACTTGTTATGAACTTGTTGGGGACTTGTTATAGACTCATTATGAACTTGTTATGAACTTGTTATGGACTCGTTATAGACTCATTAAAGACTCATTATGAANACTTGTTATGGACTCGTTATAGACTCATTAAAGACTCATTATGAACTTGTTGGGGACTTGTTATAGACTCATTAAAGACTCATTATGAACTTGTTATGAACTTTTTATGGACTCGTTATAGACTCGTTAAAGACTCATTATGAACTTGTTATGGACTCACTATGGTCTCATTATGGACTTTTTATGGACTCGTTATAGACTCAGTATGAACTCGATATGGACTCATTATGGTCTTGTTATGGACTTTTTATGCACTCGTTATAGACTCATTATGAACTTGTTATGACCTCGTTATGGACTCACTATAGTCTCATTATGGACTCGTTATAGACTCGTTATGAACTTGTTATGAAATTCTTATGGACTCGTTGTGCACTCATTATGCACTCGTTTTGGACTCATTATGCACTCGTTATGGACTCGTTATGAACTTGTTATGAACTTATTATGAACTCGTTATTAACTTGTTGTGGACTCATTATAGACTCATTATAGACTCATTATAGACTCATTATAGACTCATTATGGACTCGTTATGAACTTGTTATGGACTTGTTATGGACTTGTTATGGATATGTTGTGGTCATCATGGTAACCAGACACCTGTCACTTCCTGACAGGCAGAAACACAGAGCAGAAAATCAGCCTTAAACTCAAAAGTTATTTGTTATAAAAACAAAAACATTGAACTTTAAGCAGCAGACATCAGTTTTTATTTGTTTTTGCAGAAATTCTAAAGCTAAAAACTTGATGGAAGTCAGTGAGAGTTTGGGTGTGTGCACGCTGCACTCCAAGGAGATTTAAGAGAAAACTCTAAATCCCACAGTGATGAAACGCAGGACCTTGTCCAATATGTCTGTCCATAAGAGTCTACAGGAAGTTGTCCAATCTGTCCATTTATAAGACAGTCCACAGGAAGTCGTCTCCTCTGTGAGGGGATTCATGCTCTGGATTCTAATATTTTACTAACAGGAGACATTTGGGGACATTAATGAGACATGGCTCAGTGAGTTTTTCAGTCTAAATAAAATAAATATTTTCTGTCTTTAAATCTTTAGACTTTCTCATCCTGGATCTAAGACTGTCTGTAGACTTCAGGCTCCAGGTGTCTCTCCAGTCCAGATGGTCCATGATTTGTGGACCCGGAGGTTGTGGTGAATTAAATGTGTGGACATTAAATGTCCTCGTGGTCTTTGTTCTGTTAGAATCGCATCTTTCTGAGCGTCTGACACACTTTTAATGACTTCAGGCTCTCAGCAGAGTTTCAGCCTCGCTGATGTTTATGTCGGGAAGTCAGCGGATATTTTCCAGGAAGCAGATGGTGTGAAGCAAACAGCCGGCCCGGCCCGGCCCGGCTCAGCCCGGCTCGGTTCTGCACAAATCGGATCAGAGAACTTCTGATGAAATAAAAAAGAAAAAAAATTGTATAGGTCTTCTGGACGGGTTCTTCTTTAATGAAACGTTTCATCTCTCCTCCAAGAGACTTC